CCCCAAAACCCCAAAACCCCAAAACCCCAAAACCCCATATGGTAAATTCCTACTGAAATTTAGAAGTATTTCTCATTCATGCCTTCTTTCACTACAATATTTTGTGACTTGCACTGGCGCTGAGCTTCAGCATTGGAATGACCACTAAAGTATGACTCTTCATTAGAGTTGTGGGACACTCTTGAGAAATAATTCTGTAAATTATTACTCACATTTTCAATAGAATCCTGGAGGTTGTACAAGTCAATATTCTTGCTTTTCTTCTGAGATCCTTTAGGATTTTGAATGACCTTCTGGATTATGTCTGTAAGATGATTTACTTCTCTCTGTAAATTTTTGACGAATGTGATCTGAGTTGATTTGAACATGTCAACCTCTTGTTTTCTGTATTCAGTAAATTCTTCAATGAATCTCTTGTATTTCTTCTCTTCTTCCTTCATTATTTCAGTCTTGGATTTTTCGAGCTCTTCATTGAATATAATCTGAGAGTCTCCTTTAGAGATATCAGGGTTGATGTAATTCCTGAAAGTCTGTAACTTTATCTCATTAAAGTTATTGTCATATGTCATCTGAGAAGATCTAAGGGAACTATCTCCTTGAAAAGCATACAGCTTTTCAAAGTACTCAGCCTTGATCTTTTCGATTGTGTTGTTGAGCTGATTTTGGAAGAACTCTTCACATTGGGTCAGTTTCATCTCCCATTGCTTTGTGTGTTCTTCAAGTTCTTTTCTGTGGTCTCTCTGTAAGGACTCAATAATATCATCATTTTTCCTCGTAATTTCTCCAATTTTTCGATTAAATTCGCTCTCAAGTTCTACTTTGTATTGGTCGAATTTAGTCTCAAGAGATTTTTGTAGGAACTCTGAACTATTCACGTTCTGGAAGTCTAATTTTCTGCTGAGTTGAGTTTTGAATTTAGACTCATTCTTTAGAGTTCCAGATAAATTATCCAAGCTTTTGTCAGCCCTTGTGAGTAGCTTGAAAATAGACTCTATTGAAACCTCTTCAGAAACCATCTGAGGAGTAGATAAGATAGAGGATCTCTGAAGCAGCGATCCCTCCAGCCTTCTTGAGCTCTCAGAAGGTTTTGAGAATTTCAGAAAAGAGTAATTGTTCTTAGCCTGACCAGGATGACATCTTTGAATCTTGTCAATCAGCGATTCCAGATTGGTTTCAATTGTCCGGAGGACATAAGAAAATCTAGTTTGTTCAATACGATTGCTTTTGTTGCCAAAATCATTCCTACTTTCTCTATAAGATTACCTAAAGATCATACTGGTTTCTTAAGTGAAGTGCCATTTTCTGTTCTACCATCTCAAGCTTATCTAAAATTTCAATGTGTTTAGGATAATTGTTATCTCTATAGGAGTTTCTGAATGCTGATTTCTGCAAACTTTCCCTGAGGGTATACGATTTATCATAAGAAACAATATCATGAAGCTTCTTGATCCTACTTTCACCCATTTTGGACTCAGCAAAGGCATCTAAATTTTAGAAGGCTATTACTAGTGCTAATGTTCTCTTTTAAAGCAGAAGCTGTCAAGCTATTCTTGATCTCTTTTAAAGCACTTTGGATTAAGACTAAGTCTTTATTATCCTGACTCCTGTTAGGAAGATCAGGGGTGTCAAACTCTCTACTTCTAAGCTTACTCTCCGTTAGAGACTATATTTGTGTTAGAAAGGATATACAGCATCTAGGTAATTTGTTTTTGGAATTGGCGCCTGAGCAATTTTTGGACTACTTGGAGTCTCTAAATCTATATCAGTGATTATTTATTCTTTTTACCTCTATCTTTCCTAGTATTATTTGTAGCAAGAATAGTTTCATTTATCAAAATATGAGGCTTCGGAGGTGTCAAAAACGACTCAGAAAGTTCTGAGCCCGGTGATAAATGCTCCATTTCAAATTTAAAATATTCAATTTTGCACAAAATTTTGGGGTTTTGGGGTTTTGGGGTTTTGGGGTTTTGGGG